GACAGAGGGGAGGAACTGTGAGGATGGTGAATGTAGGCTGCTTGGGAGGCAGGGAGTGGGGCCACAGCCGCCCTTCCCTTTCCCTACTGTCCAGAGGTTCCACTGATTTTCTGGGCATTCCCGTCATCTCTTGTTCACACCGCCTGCTATGAGAACTGTCAGTGGGCCGTATTATGGAGATGGTGTGTCTGTCCCCTTCTGGACAGTGAACTGCTTTAATGGCAGAGACCACGTGTTCTGCTGTTCGTTAATGTGTTCCCTAAGCATATCTAATGGCCCAGAGGCTCCCAGGACAGATCTGCTGACCACTGAGCCCCTGGGTCCTCATGTGTGGCTTCCTGTCCTGCAGTTCCTGGCTTACGACACACAGCTGGTCCTGGGGAACCGGAGGTACACCATCAGCCCGGAGGACTACATCACCGGCGCCCTGCAGATCTACACAGACATTGTCTACATCTTCACCTTTGTGCTGCAGCTCCTGGGGAATCGCGATTAAGGAGCACCTCCCGTTCCGCCCTACCCTTGGACTTTTCTTTCCCTAGAGGGCTGGGCCCTGTGACCTGGGTCTGGGCCTAGACCCCTTTCCTTCCCCTCAAGTAATATGCCCATTTTCCTTTCTGTCCGGGGATGGGTAGCCTCTCTGGCTGTGGATGTGTAGGTACTTGGTGGGGTTGGAGGAACTAGGGACTAACTCACTCTTGCCCTTAGTGGACTTGGCAGGAACTGGGCCAAAGATGTGCATTCTCCCTCCGCCCACTATGGGGCACCAAATCCTTAACAGTTGGGGTTGGAGTGGGGAGGGATGAAAAGAGCCTGTTTGATAGCTAAAATGGAATATGAGAGGTAGGAGGGACTTTCTGGTGATGGGGTTTCCTCTCCCACTTCTGCCTCGGGCTTCTGGACTTGATAGCTGGAGCTGTTTCCTCTCTCAGCCCCCAGCAAAGCCAGAGAGCTTTGCCCCCGCCTCCTGGACTCATAGGCATTATCCTGTACTTCTTCGGCAACCTTGGCGCCTTCTGACTCAGGAAGGTAGAGGGGGTTTGTGCCCGTGGGTCTCCCCTGCTTCATTCAGCCTCTTCTTTCGACAGCACATATATACTGATCTTCTGGGTTTCGGGTGGGGAGGAGGAGAGCGAGCAAAGCCAAGCGCAGAGGCCAGTACAGAGCAGCATCTATCCGGGGCTTCCTCGTGGCTTGTGGTGGTAGTGCAGACCCCTCTGCGGCCACCTGGTCCCCATTCTCCAAAGCTGCCTGGGGCCTCCCTGGTGCTTCTGAGATCTCTAGTCAGAGGGACCTCTTGCTTCCTGTGCTCAGGCTGCTCACAGCAGAAGGTGAGGGACAAAGGTCAGGAGATGGGATGGTGCGTATGATCACCACTTCCTGGCCGTGTGGTCAGGAAGTAACCAGGGTGAAGAGAGACGGGGGTGTAGGCAGGGGAAGTGCCTTGGGGTCCCCCACCCTGAGAGATACGGAAGCTTACTGTGGTACCCATGGTTCTCCCCTTCTGCTAACTCGGGGAGGGCCCCAAGAGGAAGGAGACGCCCTTCTTAGTTTGTTAACTCACGCTTGGGGGATTTAAGACTTGGGCCCCGTCTCTCCAGCCAGCTACCGCTTTCTTCATGACACCAAGTGCCTCAAGCTGGAATGGGGAAGGGGGACAAGGGTCACTCTATGGGCTGGGGTGGAGACCCAGTCAGCCCAAGGGTATAATTAGGGCTCCTCTATTAAGTATTTGGTCCTAAATATATCCCCAAAAAGGACATAACCAGAAATGTAATAAAGTTTAACGTTTAGAAGGTAAAACCCTGTTTGGCTCTGGTTTTCTTCACTTTAAGGTGTCGTCAGCTCTGGGAGAACTTGTCTGGCTCTGCCCATTGCATCCGCATCCTAGCTTTGCGTTCTGGCTTGAATCGTTTACCTTTTCTACGATAACCAAGTCTACTTTGTCCCAGCGCTTCCTGGCGATGGATGGCTCAACCCTCAACCCCAGGTCTGGCAGGGGCCGCTCAGAGCCATTGCACATGACCTGCACCACGGACCCTTTACAAAAGTGCATGAGAGCCATGAATTCTCTTCCCCTCAAAACTGTATGTGTACACACGATTTCACATATGGGGCGTGGGGGTGGGGATGGACCACAACGTTCAGGTTTAGAACTGCCTTAGAAATCACTAGTTCAATCCCTCTTAACGAACAAGGAAACTGAGGCCCAGAGAGGTTGAGTCATTTGGACTCAGCCAAGAGGATTAAGTGCTTTTTTAACCTCCACACCCTGAACGCCTTCTTTGATTCTCCTTATTATTTGTTTAGGCTGAATGGAACCCCACCCTCCTGGCCAGCAGCTCTGAGGGCTTGGTCCCCAGGGCCTGAGCCTAGGCTTGTACTTAAGTCTCTGTGGTTTCCCCAACCATTCAGCCTGGAACACTGAGGCTTCTGTGAGAGGGAGCACACATGAGTAACCAACCCCACACTCTGCCCCTCCCATGCCAAGGGACTCACAAACCCAGTCCTGGTTCCTTTCCACTCAAACGCTCAGTAACTTTATTTGCCTTTGGCTGGTTTCTTGGGAGGGATGGGGCTGGCAGCAGCCTGGGCTTCATGCGCCCTCTGGTGGGCCTCAGAGGCAAAGACCAGAAAGGACTTGACAGTCTGGAGGCCACAATCAATACAGTCTAGGGGAGGGTGGCAGTGTTCCTCACCACTGCACCCGGGGACCCATCTTCAGGAGTCGGGGCATGATGGGAGGAGGCCCTGAACCTCTGGCTCTCATACTCGCCCGTGTTGGATGCCCGCATGTTCTGCCGAGCCTTCATCTGCTTCAAACGGTCCTTGTCCACTTCCCGCTTGGTGAGGATGAAGAGGAGGATACCACAGGGGAAGCCGATGGCCCTAGGGGTGGGGAGATGTGCACGGGGTTTGGGGAGGGGCCAAGCCTGAGCCAGAGGAGCTGGGGAGAATCTCATTCCAGCCTCACCAATTGCACAAACACTGCAATACCACTCGCATCTATTCAGCCTCTGTGCTGGCTGCTGGAGGGTCCCACTCGAATCAGATCCTGTCGCTGCCCTGCTCAAAACCCCGTAATAGCTCTCTTATCACTTCCTGGCCAAGTTCAAACTCCTAGGCACGGCACAAAAGGGCCAGTGTGGTTGGGTCTCTGCCCACCTCGTCATTCCTTTCCCCTTTAGCCTGACACTCCTCAGCATGAGCCCTGCCACCTCCTGCTGTAGCAACTGTGCAAGACTTTCCAGACAGTCCATCCTCTTTCCCTCTCCAAGTCCTGGCAAAGATTCCCTCTGCCTAAACCACCCCATACCCCCTCCCAGACTCCCCTTCTTAATCTGAGTAACTGCTACGTGGGAGGCACTTCAGTGTGGGGAAAGGTCATGGAGTCACAAGACCTGGTGAGAATCCAGCTCTGAGCCTCAGTTCCCTCCTCTGTAAAATGGGGATGTCCTATTTATCTCAGAAAGCCTAAAACATTACGTGATAAAGTACTGGCACACCTTAGGTGCTGGAAAAAATGTTAATTTTCCCCCTTGTTTTCTTTTAATATTGATCAATAATACGTATTAAGATCAGAGTCAGATTCAAATAACAATGCACTGAACACCTTGTAGGTGCTACTACTATACAACTAATATAATCTCGCGTGATCTCAATTAAATCTCTATTAAAATCTCAATTGGGTCTTGCCCCAAGCTCCCAAAAGAGAGGATGAGGCCAGGGACCCAAATATGAATCAGATTAGCTCAGCTCACTCCACAGAAAACCCACTATCTCTCCAATTTCACATACTTTCCCAACTCCCTCCCCTGCCCCAGTCCTCTGAGATTCCAGTCCTCACACCCAGCAATCCGGTCTCCGCAACCTTGGATTCAGCTCACCACCTGAAACTTGGAGAAGTTTCTGGGTTCCACCCTCCCCTGATGCCACTCCCCACTGGTGGGCAAAGGGTTAGTTAAAACTCACCAGGCTAGTCCCACAGCTTTCATTGGGTTCTTGCCCCTCTTTCTGGGAATGTATTCCAGTTCAGGGGATAGGGGCTCAGGCTCCTCCTTGCACTCTGGGGAGCTGTGGCTTTGCAGTGCCCGGGTCCTGTTCTGGGAAGCCTTGTTAGCTGTGGCTCCTGAGAGAATCCCTGTGGATGGAGGCAAGGAAGGTAGGTAAGAGAAGGTGAGAAGAAAGCCCGGGGAAGGAATGGCTGAGATCTGAGGAAGGGGAGTGACTGCAGTTTGGAGTAACAAGTACCAGGGAAAGTCCAGAGGGAAATGGGAAAATCGCCATCGAGGTGGCACCTTTGAAAGCCACTTCCACGTCACTGCGGGCTTATCACCCTGGTGCCAGGAGAGCGAGCTTCGCTGTTCTTCATCTCATCAGACGACAGGATGTGAAGGACTGCAGTGGGGCTCACATTGAGACGTATGAAGGAAATCCGAGAAATGGTTTTCAAACTGCAGAATGTTAGCACTGGAAGGGAGCTTAAAGGTAGTCTACTCTATCTCCTCATTTTATAGAAGAGGAAACTGAAGCCCCAAGAGACGAACTGCTTCGCCCAAGGTCAAACTGCTAATTATCCGGGGCTAGAACCCAAGCCTCCAGAAGCCCAGGGCTCTTTCCTCTGCACTGCGGTGAGTGTGAAACACCTGGAGCACGGGAGTCTAAAAGGCTTCCTTGGGGCTCCCTTTCGCTGCAAGACCCCAGAGGTGTCGTGTAACGGGAAGGCTAAGGGATGGACTGGGTGACCTCTAGAGAGCATCTTTTAGCTCCCAGACTCTTTAAGATCCTGCAGAGGGGTGAGGGCAGCAATCGACAGCCCTGACCTCCTGCTATCGCCGAGCGGGATGTGAGTAAAAGGGTGCCCCCTGCAGTCCGGCCCTCCCCAGGGTCCCTCTCCTTACCCCGGAGGACGCGGGCATTTCTCGCCCCCCGGCCCTTCAGCGCCGTAGCAGCTACCACCGCCGCCATGTTCAGAACCCACCCCCCTTCACCGCGCTCCCCGCCGGGAATTGTAGTTTGCGTAAGGGGCCTCCCCCGCTCTTCCCGTCCAGCCTACAGAGCAGAAACTACATCTCCCAGAAGCCCGCGGAACAGACCCGGGAGAACTACTATTCCCAGGAGATACCCCGGAGGCGCGCACGCTCGCTTGTTGCCCTCCTGTTGGGGGCGGAGTCAGGTCGAGCGGAGTTGGGTTCTCCTCTCCACGCCCCGGCTCCGTCTCCCAACTCTGCCCTGTGATTGGTGGTTAAGCCAGCCCACCCCCTTCTCTATTGGTCGAGCGGCCGTCGCTCTCCCTGCCGGGGAGTCGCCTACGCCTACTTCCTCCCGGGAGGAGGGGCTCGAGTTCCGCGTCGTCGCGCAGAGCTGACTCTGGGAGGCGTTTGGGCCCAGAGAAGTGGGTTCGTCGCTTGCGCCGCATGGAGTCCGAATCGGAAAGCGGGGCCACCGCTGACACCCCTCCACTGGAGACCCTAAGCTTCCATGGTGATGAAGAGATTATCGAGGTGGTAGAACTGGATCCCGGTCCGCCGGACCCGGGTGAGAGCTGCCGATCCTCGGGCCACGGGACAGGAGGCGCTCACCACTGGCCTTTGACCCCTGCTTCTCTCTCTCCCCACCCCACCCCCACCCCACCACCCGCCACCCCACCGGTCATTCCTACCGACCTCCTTCGCCCTTCCCCTCTCCCCCAACCCCACACTTAGTTCTCAGGCCTGGCCGGGGTGGGGGTTCCTCTGACGCCTCCCCTGGCCCTTCCCCTCACACACACCCCCTTCCCATCATTCCCTCGCTCCTCCCTTCCCACACGGTCCCTGGCCAACCCCAGGTCCACAGACCTGTCTTGTCCTCCGTCCCATACGCCCCCTCCCCCTGCCGCTTCACCCCTTCTGTCTGACCTCACCTTGCCCTCTTGCCACACGACCACCCCAGCCTCCCCGCACTTCCTATCCCTCTTACCGCCTGCCGAACCCCATCTTTTAACCCTCTCCCCAAAGCAGACGATCTGGCCCAGGAGATGGAAGATGTGGACTTTGAGGAAGAGGAAGAGGAAGATGGCAATGAGGAGGGCTGGGTTCTGGAACCCCAGGAAGGGGTGGTCGGCAGCATGGAGGGCCCAGACGATAGCGAAGTCACCTTTGCATTGCACTCGGGTAGGTCTCTGAGGAGATCCATCGTAAACCCAGTCCAGGTGGGCATTTGAGCATCAGCCATCCGCTGTGTCGGGAGCATTATGAGGGACACAGCGGTGGGAAAATGCTGGCCTTGCCCTGGAGGAGCTCACAGGTAGGGGGGCAGTATGATGGAATGGAGGAGAGCTTGGCTCCTGGAGTCAGTTGAGACACTTGGGTTCAAATCCTATCCCAGCTACTCGTCTGTTTATGATCTTTATTAAAGTCTCTGGGTTTTAGTTTCCTTTTAAAAAGTTGTCACTGGTAAAAGTTCTTTTATTGTGAATTACAGGTAATAGTACCTTTTGGAGCATGTTTTAGATAATCCTCTTAAATATTAGCTCTTTAATAAGGAACCAGTAACATGACGCTTTCCTCACTCAGACCCCAGACTGGTGGCATCCCATGCTGAGAATTGTAAGCGCTGCACATGTACCTTTCTCTTGTCCATGGCATCAGTGTGGGGTGGTGAAGGGAACAGCACTGAAGGGGGATCTGTCCTGGAGAAGGACTTAGAGTTCGGCAAGCTTGGGGAGGGATTTCTCCAACAACCTGATGCTTGAAACTTAGAAGAACTTGGATGTGCCCTTCTTTTCCAGGAGGAAAGAAGTGTTACTTTGGGTGGAAGGGGGTGGGCTTCCCAAAGGTCCCGAAGGACAGGTGGGAGCCCTGTCTCCTTACTCATGGAGTATCTCTTGGGACAGCATCTGTGTTTTGTGTGAGCCTGGACCCCAAGACCAACACCTTGGCAGTGACAGGGGGCGAAGATGACAAAGCCTTTGTGTGGAGGCTCAGCGACGGGGAACTGCTCTTTGAGTGTGCAGGTGAGCGGGCCTGGCTGAGGTCCTGCCCCTTAGAGGTCTTAGGGCGCTGGCCTGCAGCGGTTGTGCCTCCAATAGCCATTTACGGACTCCCGTTTTGCCAGCTCTATACTTGGCCTGAGGGCCCCAAAGAATAAAATGGTCTGTTGTGGGCATAGGGGAGGGAGGCACTGATTGGCTGAGGGAGTCAGGGAAAGGCCTGGGAGGAGGTGACACTAGTGAAGGAGAATTGGGGCAGGAAGGAGGCTGTGAGTATTTCAGGCAGAGATGTGGAACGGACAGAATGGGGAAGACATAGGCCTGGGCTATACATGGTTGAGTGGGGGGCCAGCAGTGTCTCCCCTGGGGAGACATGGGGATGTTGGCTTCTGGAGCAGCTCTGAGTTTGGACCCATCCTTTTTTCTGAGTTTTTCTGAGTTTGGACCCATCCTTTTTTTTCCCAGCTGGTCCTTTCTGGGGGCCAGATACCTGGGTCCCGTGTCCCCAGCACCAGGTACGCTGATGCTCTCTTCTCTTCCTGCCCACGCTTCTCTGCAGGCCACAAAGACTCTGTGACCTGTGCTGCTTTCAGCCACGACTCTACCCTGGTGGCCACAGGGGACATGAGTGGCCTCTTAAAAGTGTGGCAGGTGGACACCAAGGAGGAGGTCTGGTCCTTTGAAGCAGGAGATCTGGAGGTGAGATCATCAGAGTGGGATTCAACTCTGAGGGCTGGGGGAGGGGTGAGACCCTGGGGGTCCGTGCCACCTTGAGCAGACCAAGCCAGCTCTGAGCCGGTACACCCCCAGAGTACAGCAAGAATGTCTAGGCCCATTCCCTGGGATGTGCCTGCTGACTCAGAAGCGGGGAAAACTTGGCAGACCTCATGGGGCAGACTCCTAGGTGAGATGGGGTGAGGGGCCTCCCTCTTGAGCCTTTGTCTCTGCCCAGTGGATGGAGTGGCACTCTCGGGCACCTGTCCTACTGGCGGGCACGGCTGACGGCAACACCTGGATGTGGAAGGTCCCGAATGGTGACTGCAAGACCTTCCAGGGCCCCAACTGCCCAGCCACCTGTGGCCGAGTCCTCCCTGATGGTGAGAGCAGCTTTCCTGAGCGCAGAGAGGTGGGGACCAGGGTTACGCGTCTCCCTGGCTCCCTCCTGGGCCACCGCCAGCAAACTCTGAGGCCTGCTCTTGGGACCACTGACCTCCCAGGCCCCAGAGCAGACAGCTCCCCCTTTCCACCCGGGACTGGGTCTTCCCTGGGGCGCTGTGTGTTCCCTCACTTCCTTGCCCCCATCCCCTCCCTCCCCTGCTGATGTGTCTGAGTGTGCTATCTGTTCTTCTCTCCTCATCTCCATCTCTGGCCCTTTAGGGAAGCGAGCTGTGGTCGGCTATGAAGATGGTACCATCCGGGTTTGGGACCTGAAGCAGGGAAACTCTATCCATGTACTAAAAGGTATCTGGGGTGGGGAAGGTGTTAACCTAGGCCTTTGTGGGGCAGGGGCTGAGACCTGGGACAGGATGAAATCCGACTTATTCCTCTGCTTCATCCTAGGGACCGAGGGTCACCAAGGCCCTCTGACCTGTGTTGCCACCAACCAGGACGGCAGCCTGATCCTCACTGGCTCTGTGGACTGCCAGGCCAAGCTGGTCAGTGCCACCACCGGCAAGGTGAGTGGGACCTGGAGCCTGGCTCTGGGGCCTCCGCTTTCTGCGTCTCCTCCCCTTTGTCTCTTATCCTTCACCCAGCCTCCTTGCCCCACTGCCTTTCTTCTCTTAATAGAGGACCATGTTTCCAGGCTCTTCTCTGATCCTCTCCCCTGGCTCATAGGTGGTGGGCGTTTTCAGACCCGAGACCGTGGCCTCCCAGCCCAATCTGGGAGAAGGGGAGGAGAGCGAGTCCAACTCCGTGGAGTCCTTGGGCTTTTGCAGTGTGTGAGTGTGAGCGGGGCCTCAGCCTGACACGAGAGCAGGGGGCTTGGGGGAGGGGGCCTGGGCTGGGGGACCCCGAGTCCAGGTCCCTCCACGAGCTGTCGTGATACTCTCCTCTGCCCAGGATGCCTCTGGCAGCTGTTGGCTACCTGGATGGGACCTTGGCCATCTATGACCTGTCTACGCAGACCCTCAGGCACCAGTGTCAGCACCAGGTACAGGCAGCCTGGAGCCATGGCCCCGGCCATGGGAATCCCAGGTCTCTGGGAGCGTCTGCCCCAGACCTGGCTCCTGTCTGGTCCTTCCCTATGGCCCATAGTTCCTCCCTCCTTCCTTGAGAGGTGGGAGCAGATGCCTGTCAGCTCTCCCGCCCCTGACCGCACGCCGCTTCTGCCGTACCCTGCTGCAGTCGGGCATCGTGCAGCTGCTGTGGGAGGCAGGCACCGCCGTGGTTTACACTTGCAGCCTGGATGGCATTGTGCGCCTCTGGGACGCTCGGACCGGCCGCCTGCTTACTGACTACCGGGGCCACACGGCCGAGATCCTGGACTTTGCTCTCAGCAAGTGAGTGAATTGGGCAAGGGCTGGGGTCTCTGTGTGTTTGGAAGGTGGGAATAGCCCATGGGGGTGTCACAGGGTCCTTAGGGTATAGGGGGCAGCTAGGCCCCAAGGCCTGGGCCTGCCTGTGAGGCAGGAGGGCTGGCAAGCCTGCGGGAGTCATCTTCCGTTGACGGTGCGGCCTCACATCTCATCCCCTGGGCGCAGGGGCTGGGACCCCTTCCCCCATGCGGGCGGCTCTCCTCTGATCCCCTTGCTGGTTGCTGGCTTCAGGCGTGTTCACTGGGTGTGGGTCCGCCCAGCGCCAGGCACTAGGGGTCTGGAGTTGAGGATGAGCTGCAGGAGGTCCCCAGAGGGCCCTTGAGTGGTGGGCCTGGGGTGGGCCCGAGGTCTTCCAGTCCCTCCCAGCTGTGTCTTCTGTCCACAGAGATGCCTCCCTGGTGGTGACCACGTCAGGAGACCACAAAGCAAAAGTATTTTGTGTCCAGAGGCCTGACCGCTAACAGCTGCAGCCTCTGCTTTGTGTCTGGTGTGGAGGGGGCACAGAGATCCCCATCAGCAGAGGCGGTAGGGTAGGAGGGAAGAGGAGGGGACGGGCCTCGGACTCACTTTCCAACCACTTCAAACTGACTTGCCCCCTCTCTGTCCCTTTCTTCTCTTAAGAGTCCCACCCCTCGGGCCCCTCCTTCCCGCCCTCTCCCTCGTAGTCCTCGCCCAGACCTGGCACGCCCTTCAGAGGGAGGTTCAGACCTCTTTCTCTTTCACTTCCTTTGCTGGTGTGAGCCATGGGGGTGTGTATTTGTATGTGGGGAGTAGGTCTTCGAAGTTCCCGCTCTTTCCCTTCCCAAGTCTCTGGGGGCGGAAAGGAGGAAGAGATATTAGTTAACAGATTTTAAAAATGTAAATAAAATATACTTCCCAGAGACGTGTCTGTGTGGATTTCGTGGTGGCTGGACATGAGGAGGAACCAGTGAGGGGCGTGTCGGGGTGAGGCTCCCTGCCACATCTGCTAGATCTCAAGGTGCCTCAGCTCACCCCCTCAGGCAGCAGCATCCTCACCTACAGCTAGCTGCCTGCCTGTCTGGAACTGGAATCTCCCTGGATCCTCTAGGTTCTTTCCGCAGCTGCTTGCCTGTCCCTCCTTTGCTAAGATGTGGAATGAGATAACCACAGCTGGGAGCCAGGGGAGCTTTATTCAGTCAGGGTGGGGTCGTATAGGGGCAGGGTCTCTGATCCAGAGGTGCGGGGATAAGTGGAGATGGGCTTGGTGGCCAAGATGGACGGATGCTTCTAGTAGGAACGAGCAGGGGCCCCTCCCCTAGTTCAAGTCGAGGTCCATGCTGCTTTGGTTGCTGGTGTGGTAGGCGGGGCTGGGTCCAGGACTGCCCTGGGGTCTTCCCCGCAGCACCCGGAGCCACTTCTGGGCGGCCGCCCTCCAGGGGGCCGTGTAGCGCTGATCACCCAGCCCCATGGCCACAGGCACGGCCGCCGCACTGGCGCTGCCCAGGGAGATGAGAGACAGCAGAGTTCCGGGCCCCAGCGGCGGGCGCTGCTCATAGGCCAGGACGGAGAGGAGCAGGGTGGCCACGTAGGGCCCCCAGCACAGCCCGAAGAGCAACGTGGCTCCAGCCTGTGCCCTGGCCTGCCGCCAGGTGAGGGCGCGGGCCAGGGCCGAGGGCGCGCCGCGGCACACAGCCCGCTCCAGCCGGCGGATGTCCTGTAGCTGACGGCGGGCGGTGGCCAGCACGTGGACCGAGAGAAGGGCGGCAGCGCCCACGGCGGGCAGCAGGACCCCATAGACTTCGAGGTAGAGGTAGGGGGCTGGGAAGACAGCCTGGGAGCTGCAGTTGGCCCCAGGGGCCCAGTGGTTCCAGCCCAGGGCAGGCAGGCTGGCAAAGAGCAGGGGGCCAGCCCAGGTGAGGAGCAGGGCCATCCGGGTGCTCCCGCGGGGCCGCAGAGGCCGCAGCACTGCCATGTAGCGCTCCCCGTGCACCAGCAGGAGGTTGGCAAGCAGGGAGAGGAAGGAGAAATTGGGAGCCAAGTAGAGGAAGAGGCAGGACCAGTAGCCTCGGCGGCTCTGGTTCCATAGGCCTGGCAGCACGGGCAGCGCCAGCCCGGTGAGCAGCCCGGCCAGCAGCAGGCTCAGGAAGAAGCAGCCAGCAGGTGGGCCGCGCAGGCGGTGGTCCCTGGCGATGCCCAGGGCCAGGAACAGGTTGGCAGCGACGATGAGGCTTGCCAGGGCCAGGGAGAGCCCCAGGGCCCCTGCGGGAATGGGGCTGGGCATCTCCCTGGTGCTGTTGGGTGTCATCTTGGGCCTGGGGACGGGGGAGACCTGGAGCAGCAGCGGGCGTGCCTAGATGGAAGATGGGGCAACCGGAGTTAGGGTGGGGCTGCAGGTCACTGTCTGCTCGGCAAGGCTGCACATTAATCCAGAGGTCGCAGACCAACAGACTGTGGGCCATATCCTGTTTGCTGATACACATTTTCCCCCCAATGAATTGCCAATTAAAATTTACATAAAAATTCATATTTTGGGCTTAAAAAAAATCAGGTCCTGCCTGTATGATAGCAACCAGCTGGAGTTGAGTTGTGGCTGCCTTCAGACAGCTCCCACAGTCCCCACCCAGCCCTGTCGGCCCATTTCTGTTATCTGTCTGGTCCTCTCTGGGCAGCTGTGTTTATGCCTCTGTTTAGGCTGAAAAGTGGACCCACCCATCCCCAAAGCATTTTGACCATCCCTGCCTCCACCGGGTGAGGCATCTAACAAATTAGCTGACAGGATAGGATAGGGTCTGGCTGGTGTGTAGTGGTCCTCTGGCCAGCCAACAGTTGATGGCCTCCTTCGGGCTGGGGCCAGAGCCGGGACAAGGGACTCGGGGTGGGTGCTAAATGAAGGAGGGCGGTCCTTGTCTTCAGATGCTCGCAGGCTCGTGGGCACCCGTGCATTAAGAGGTGGTAGGTTGCTAAGGATTCGGGGTGCAGGTAGGGGCAGAAGTCACCCTGAGGCAGGGCTCACTGAGTTAGTGATGAGGCCAGGGCAATGGGTGGCAGCAAGGGGTTGCCCGGTCCCTTGCACCTCCCCTCCATCCGCCTTGTCACCAGTTACACCTCAGTGAGCAGCCTCCGGGCAGGACTTCCAGCCCATAAACTTGACGCATCCCTACCTCTCTAGCAACAGGGCCTTTCCTGGGAACTGGAGGAGGGGAGGAGTTGCTGGGAGGGGGGAGGGTTGGCAGTGAATGTGCAGATGCCGGCGGCAGAGGGCTGAAGCGAGCCCAGAGAGGGAGGAGGAGCCGCTGGGCAGGGCCTGGCCTCTCTGTGGCTCTGACCTGTCCCAGTCCTCCCATGCCCTGTCCCCACTGCCACATCATAGGGATGGGGGACAGGGGAGGGGTCCTGGGCCCTGTGGGAACTCCTGCTTCTGTCAACGGGAGCAGCCGCTGTTGCTAGGATTAAAGTCAAGAGGGAAAGGATTCCTACCTGCCCCCTCCCCCGGGTCAGAGGATTAGAGGGCCCCACGGCCACCCTGAGCGCAGGAGATGTTGCCCCTTCTATCCCCAGCTCCTCTCAGGTCCCCCCAAGCTGCTGCACCCCTTTACCCTCAGCTTCTGTTTCTTCTTCCTCAACCTCCCCCAGTGCCGTCCGCTGGGAACATCTTCGCCTCTCCAGCGGCCCTCCAGTTTCTGTTCCCCTTCATCCCTGCACTGTCAACTTTATTAAACCCCAGGAGACCTCAGAGTCCGTTACTTCAATCCTGGACTCTGGAGTCATGGGCTGGAGCTCCCAGCTCTTCGCTGGAGTGAGTCTCTCACCCTACCTCCAACAGACCAGCGAGAAAGGCAGGGTCGGCCGCCGGGGCGACTTCCCAGCAGTCTTATGGGTGTGCTGGCCGTGTGACCTGCACAACCCGGAGGCTCTGGTGGCTCAGGCTGCGTGCAATGGCCTCTGCAAGATCTGGGGTCGAGGTCTCCAGGTGTGGCCCCGGGGGCCGGGTGGGGAAGGGGGAGAGGGGGTAGGTACTCACATGGCTGTGAGGGACAGGTGTTGCTCCCCCAGCCTGGGCTTTTCCTCTGAGTGTCAGGGAGTTGTCGCAGCCAGCGCTGCAGGGCTTCTGGCGATGTCTGGTGTCCTGACCGGTAAGGGCATGGTACCTCCACTGTGCGAGTACAGCAGGGCCCCGGCTCTCCACTGCTCTCCCTGGCTTTGCCCTCGCCTGGGTTCCTGGAGGGATGGAGCTGAGGCTGGCGGGGATCAGCCTGGCCCCGCCTCTGGGGGGTGGGACCTGGCACACCCTGAGCTGCAGTACTGGGAGGCCTTCCTCCCCTTTCTCCAGTGCCCCCTCCTTACCCTCCTGTACCAGTGGTCCCCTCTCCAGCCACTGGCCATAGCTTGCCACCAAGGCAGGTCACCCAGCTTGGAGCCCTCTGGCCCGCTACTGCTTAGCTAATCTGAGAAATGCATTCCAGCTAGTGAACAATGATTTAGTCTACCTTCTCCACTTCCCAGCTCATATATTTACATTTTATGAGCCTTAAACCCCTGGAGTGGCCAAGCCAGCTGACAGTGCCAGTCCGCATAGTGGTGTGTGTCTGATGGTGGTGGTGGTGGGGGGATGTTTGGAATATGAGAATCTTCACTGCCTGCCCTTCCTATCACCTGGTAGGGAATTTTAGCTTATAAAGCCAGGCTTGCCTTCCAGAATCTGGGGTCATTCCACACTTTTCTCAGCTACTTTGTGAGTCAGGTTCTGGGCTATGAGGCACAAATAGCTCTGGGGTTGTGACTTGGGGCAAGCTGCCTCTGGGCCTCAATTTTCTCACCTGTAAAATGGAAACAAGGAAAACCACCTGTCACTGTTGTTGTGGGGAATACCATGGGATAACATGTAACTGCATACATCCCAGTACCTGACACCTAATGGGGGAGGGTTCTCAACCAGTGATTCCCTTCCTCCCTCCTCCATGACTAAGAGGCATGAGCCAGTGCTGGAATCCGAAAGCCTGGGTTTAAATCTCAGAATCCTTTTTGGATCCTGTTTTTTGGCTGTTTAAACGAGTAAATTATTAAAGTTCTCTTACTTTAATTTCCTCATCTGCAAAATGGGGCTCATATTGTATTCACCTCTTGTGAGACTATATGAGAAAATGTGTCGGGGACTTTGGCAGTCTAGCGGTTAAGACTCTGCGCTTCCACTGCAGGGGACACAGGTTGGATCCCTCGCCGTTGGGATCCTGCATGCTGCCCGGTGCAGCCAAAAAAAAAAAAGCGTGTGATAAGGACTTGGGTCAGTGCTCGGCACAGAAGCACACAATGAAAGGGATTTCTGGCCTTCTCTGCACATCCCTTCCCTCCAGCCACCTGTCCCCTCTGAGAATTCCATTGAGAAAGCCTGATAGAGAGCCTGTGCAAAGCAAGAGGGGAATGACACTTTCACTCCACAGGGAAACACAAGAAACTAGGCAGAGTGAGAGGAAGGGCAAGTTCAAGGCTAGGAAGACCCAATTTCCAGCTTGTGTCAAGTGAGGCTTTGGGGTGAGGGAGACAAGCAGTTACACTCTCTTGACGCCTGAAGTGGGAGGGAACAGGCTAAAACTGCAGCGTGAAAGCTGGAGTTTAGACATTAGGAAAACGCTCCTTGTAGACGGAGCAAGGGGTTTTCTGTGCTCTCTCGGTGAGACCTGGGCCTGAAGGGCTGGAGGCCTGAGAGGTCTAGCTCTGCCAACCCTGCATAGCAGTCAGGAGTCCTGGAGAGAAGGACCTCTGTTGGGACAAAAACTGGGAAGAGGAAAGCACCCAGCCTCAAACCCATCCTCAAGGGAGCTGGTGGGTGGGAGGATGCTGCATTCCAGTGGACGCTCTCGGCCCCATGCTATCTGGCGGTGCAGAAGTCAGAGGCTCTGGGAGAGTTCACCCTGGGGCCTTGACAGAAGTGGGAGTGGGGCGTCTCATGTTGGATTGCCAGGAATAAACAGACCTCCTTCTGTTCCCAGCCCTGGCCTCCTCCCTGCAGGATCCAAGATGTCTGTGTTTCTTCTTCGCTACTCTGTCTAAACACTGTGTGGGATGACGTGTAAAGGAGAACAAGTTCGGGAGCCAGAGCCGGGGAGCCTGGGTTCTGTCCTCAGCTCAGCCCTGTTTCCTCCTTATTGGATCATTTAGTTCCTCTCTGTTCCATCAGTCCCTGGGACTGACTTATCCCCAGCCTTCTCTCCTTCGCCCACAAGAGGGCTCTGGTGCAGTTTTCAGATGCTCCATCCAGCGGATCTGTGGGCCCTAGAGTTCCCCACCTCAGTCCCCGTTCTCCTCTCAGGTAGAGCCTGTATCATGGTGTCCAATCTGGACTGTGGCAGGAGATCCACCTGGGTCTCCTTCGTGCACCCCATTCTCCTGGAAATTTTCCTGTCGGCCCTGGGTAGCTCCCCATAGGCTCCGGCTGATGAGCCCTTGGGAGCCTCTGAAGGGCTCTGGGGACAGTCCTGTGACCAAGTCTGGCCAGGATCCTGGCTTCAGGAAGACTTTAAAGTCCTGTCAGGGCTACGACAGATTCTTCAAGCCTCCCTCGGAGTCACACAAACTGCAGTGCTTTTAGCAATCCCCAGAAGGGGGAAGCACTGAATTCAAAATGGCCCCCAGAGCCGACCCAGGCTTTGGTCTTAGGTCTCTGTAGCTGCTGGGACGAGGGTCCCTCAGGCCTACTGCGAATGAGACTGAAGGGAACTGAAATGGTAACTGTCAAGTATCAGCTCTGGGTAGAAGGGCTGACGCAGCAGCTGGCATTACTTCCTCTTCCTGGCTTCAGCTTCATGTCCTCTGGTTCCACACCTCCACTTCCTGTTACAGTCTTATTTGCTTTTCCATCAAGCTCCTGGTTCTTAGCTTGCCCAGGTCGCACTTTATCCAGACTTGGAGCTTCCCACTAACACCCTTCTCACCCCACGCGGCAGTTTGAGGGCCACCAAACAGTGAAAAATATCACCGTTTTTGGTGAGGACCTGAAAAACCCCAATGCAGAGCGACCTTGGTTTATGCTGGACTTGGCTTCTCAGCAGTCCTGCCACTCTGATCCTCTTAGAGTACAAGAATGTAACTAAGATTTATTAGACGGTGTTATCAATGATAATTATAGGCATTATAAATGCCTACAATGTGATAGGCACTTATTATCTGTTCTCTATTCCTTTTTAAGAGCCCTGTGAAATAGGTGGTGTCATGTCCAAAGATGAGGCCATCGGGGCTCAGATTAAGAAATTTACTCAGTCACATAGCTATTAAGTGGTGGAACATGGATTCAAACCCAGGTCTGTCTTAAACACTGCTTCCACCTCTCCAGCTTATATCCCAGCTCATCTATACCTCCCAGGTATGGACCTTTAGGGTAAGGCAGCAAATTAGCAGCAATTGAGACTAGATCCCGTTTCTCGTCACCCACATCCTCTCAGCATGCTGACCCTCAGCTTGAGACCTCCCTCCTCCTACAATTCTATGGGCTTTGGCTGAAGTTACAGTGTGCCTTTGTCCACAAAGGGGACGGAGGGTCCTTGAGAAAGAGTTAACTGTGCCCTGGAAACAGATGAAGACAAAGGAGCATGTCTGGAGAGGGGTTTTCACCAGCATGGGTTTTTATGCTGACAAAGTCTTGGAATTAAGACAATTCCTTAGGGTTTATTAAAAAATATTTAATGCCTCTTTTTCTCCTAACTCCATATTTTCTAAGCAACCCTGGTCTTGCCATTTACAGCACTTTTCAGAAGTCTGATCCCCATTATTGGCAAAATACAGTGAGTTCCAACTTACTACGGAGTTATGTCCTAAAGTCAGCAGGAGAGCAAAAACAACTTCTGGCCAAAATTACCCTTGCAAACCCCTTCAATAGCTCCTGGGGTACAGAACACATCTATGTCACTGTCTCTCAATAGATCTAATTTAGCCCAGTTTTCCATCCACCAGAAGTAGGTGATGAGGTGCCACATCCCAGGAAAACACTGGGAAGACTCGATGTGGTGAACTCTCGAAAGTCACGGTCAGCCCCACCAAGGGGACAGCACTCTCCCGGGCACATATTTGTTGAGGGGATGGGAACGTAACTGATCCTGAGTGAAACGAAGCCAGGATAACTAAATGACCTGTTGCTTTTAAATCTGATCATGACCCACAGTAAAAAGACATTTTTACAATCTAGTCAACATGTCTGTAACTAAATCAGTACTTACCCTTAATAGGAGTGACGCATTCTGATTAGTATATATATACTATTTTTAAAAAACGTTGATGAAGTCACACGTGAAAAAAAATGCACGGAAGACACCACACACACACACACACACACACACACAAATGAGTGTATGCAAAACTGGTGAAGTCTGAGCAAGGCTGGGATTGTGTCAGTGTCAACTTCCTGGCTGTGATATTGTACTACAGAATTTCTGTACTATTTCTTACAACTGCAGTGAATGTACAATTATCTCACAATAGTTTAGGAAATAAAAATGTCAGGACATTTCACAATTCATTAACAGTCTCAAACCAGTTTGAAACACACTGAACTTGGAGACAAAAGGGAAAGCAAGAAGGTAGAAACCATTAGGGTCACCCTTAGACCATTTCAGGTGCCCCTAAAGTTCTTTTCTTCACCAAGCCAACTTTCTGAACCAATTGTATTTTAGGGATCAGTGGGGACAGCAGGATACCTTGCTAGGCTCCGTCCTGTTTATTAGGTAAGCATCTCCCACAGTGAGTTTTGTGGAATGCCAGGCTATTGGGCTCTTGTGTGAGAAAGAAACTGCCCAGTTGTTTGCATTAGACCCACAATGACCTGCAGAACCACACACACCATGAAACACATTTGGGGAAACGTTATACATTATTCAAGATAAAAGACTTCACCAGAAAACACATTATAAAGTGGCTGTCACTGTCGTGCAAGCTTCTTGGCCACAGCCAAGACTTAGTAACCAAGCTTTACAGTGAGTATGTTTAAGTTTACCCAGAAATGCCAACTAAGAGCTTACCAGTGAGCCATTCTCTCCTCTACAGGGAGGCTGGCAGGGGGTGGGGTGGGGAGGGGCCTCCGGAACCTAAGCTTTTCCAGTGCAGGTTTGCAGGTTCAAGGGCAGTACCGGTGCACCCTTCATCCCTTCTCCTCTCTTGTTTGGACTCACAGTCCAGAAACCCAGTGAATTCTCATGTAAGATAGAAAGATTTTCTTTATTAATGACCCCAACCGTGTTTCTTTAGATACAGGAGTTCTGAACTCAAATACTTAGGAGAAAACAAGTTAAGATTGCATTATCCTGCAACTCATTACCAGTAACATACTGCAAAGCAAAACAGCTTGGAAAAGAGGGGGAGGGGAAGGGGAGTGAGGGAGGGAAGATAAAAGAAAAGGAATTACGTTGATCAAGTGGAATTCGTTTTTTTCCTTTTTTTTAAAATTCTTGGGAACCATGAAGTCCTTGCAAGCACAGCTCGTTTTTGCAGATTATTTTCCAAACGTGTACAAAATGGAACCAAAACGGAGAATCCCTTAAGAACCTGAAGAGGTGCAACATTAAAAGCTACGATTATCCAGTAGCAAGTGTTCCAGCCTTCAGCTGCCAGCCGCTTCCTCTTCCTGTTCCCAAGAGTTAGCGGGATGAAAACGTCTTCCCCCTTCAAAAGCAGAGAGTAAGTGTGAAGGCTGGTTTCTGTTCACCTTTCCGTCCACCTCATGCTCTGGGCTAGGAATGGGGTCCCGGAAGAGACAGCAAACACGAGGTGGTAAGGTTCCTCAGGCAGAGCTATGTAGGAATTCCAGGCACGGGCTAAGGTCCAGCTTTCACAGAAATGTCTCATCATCTCTTCCTCCCTATTGAATACTTTGGGGTACCAAGTAATACCTGTGCTAATAAGCCCACAAGGACAGTAAATGTACCAAGTTAGACAGGAGAATCACCTGCCCACAATTTCTGGATGGCCTAGACCTATTTGCATTTCAGACTGGGCTCAATCCTCTTCCGAGTAAAGCATTCAGGGTCCTCCTACACAGTTTATACCTATTCGGGCTAGCAGACAGCAGTTCCTTAAATCTTTCACCACGGGGGCAGGACGTCCAAAGAAGCAGCCCTCCAAACTTCCAAGGTTAAAGGTGCTTCGTGCTGTCACGTGGTGACTACACTCAGCCACGGAACGCTTGCCTGACTTAAGGTTCCTGAACTGGGGCGTCCTGTTCCACCCAGTTTCTCCCCAGAATAGCCAACTGTGGGAACAGGCTGGTTCCCGAAGATAGGGGGTGCGCATTTGGTAAAGCATCCTGGAAGCTAGAGCTGAGAACTACGGGAAACTGAGGCAAAAATACAGGGGCTAAAGCTTTCCTGCCCTGATCGTCTCATCCAACCCCAAATGAAACTAAAATATTTTGTTATCCATTCCCCGGTAAAAAGCTCACGTGTATTCAATTCAGGCAGAGCTCTGCGGGGTGCTGGCGGTTGGCTTCTGATCATAGCAGACCCGCCACGCGCCTTCATGCTGCTCTGGGTTCTGAAACCTCACACAGCAGGGCAGGGGTCCCGGCTTCTTCTGCCCACCCTTGGGAACACGATCTGGTTTTCAGGGTGGATGCAGTTGTTTACCTCACCCTTCTCCTTTCTGGGGCCCACCTCTGCCATTGACGTCATAGGACAGAAAAAGGCAAAGCTGTTCCTCGTAAGTTCCAGGAAGGAGGTTTATGGACAGTTTGCTCATTTCACGGATTCATCTCTTCCCAGTCCCCCATCAGGATAGGGCATTGTCCCTGCCCTCTGTCCACTGCACTCGCTTTGCAATGACCCCCCACGACCGCCTGCTGGCTGTGTTAACAGGGCAGGAGAGAAGCCGTGCAGGGAGACACTGGGTGGTGGCTGCCTGGTGGGCCCTTCTCCTGAATGGACAAGGCAGTTACAGGGCTGACGGTGACACAGCAGCTCATGATGCCCAGCCTTCCTGTTCGGTGGGCGACAGGCTGGCCAGGTCAGGTTGCCTTCTGCTGGCTCACCTCCTGGCCTCTACTGAACTGCCTGTCTCTTCACTGGGCCCTGAAAGTGGCACAAAATTGGCTGCCTCACACTCAAGGTCACCAAAGTGGTGTGGGTGAGAGAAGCAAGCAGGGAAAGGGGGACCTGTAAACTCCAGGACGGAGGCAAGGCTCTGCAGGGCAGCAAGAGCGTGCGCCCCCCAGGGCACACACCCTGCTGTCTCCCCACCTTGTGAGTTCTGCCTATTTTAGGGTATGCCACGAAGCTGGCATCTGTGGCTATGCCACGGTAGAAGGAATGATACTGCCACGGCACGTGGACACCTCTCTCTAAGCAGAGGATTGAGCTGTGGACTGAACACTCCGCTGGCTCTGGGCAGTGGGCGGAGCTATTATAGAGAAAGGTCTTTGGTACCAATTTCCTAACGAAGAGACAGGCAGCCTCTAAAGCCTAAAGAAGGCAGGGGCGACTTAACCTGTTCTGTATAAATGTCTGAGGTTAAAACCCTCTGCCCAGGCAAGCAAGCGTCAGACGCCTCTCTCACCCTGCTGAATGGCAGCAGGAACTAGCTGGGCAGAAGAGGCCAGGGGGAGGAGCCTGAAGCCCTAGGCACACCATACCTACTGAAGGCTCCCCCCAAGATTACGGGGTGCTGGCAAATGCACTGGCTGTGAGGGTTGTGGGTAGGCTTAGTTCACCTCAAGATTTTTAACTCAGTGGGCACAAAAGACAGCAGATCAGCACTTATTACCCTACCTGGAGAACAGGACTGCCTAAACTTCACCAGAGGGGGACCCAAGATCTGGCACCTGGCACAGACCCAAATCCCCAGGCCTCAGACCACGCTGGCCTCCTGCATGTAGAGCCTCACACCATTTAGGGCTCTCATCACCTCCATCCCTGATAAAGGTAACTTCCTCTCCATGCAAAATTCCTGCCGTGAAGTGGACCAGGAAAAAGAACACTTAGGGGTGGTTCCACGCCTATTTACTCAACTAAATGTCCTTAAGCAAATTACTTCATTTCTCCAAGAAGACCCTGAGAAGGACAAGACTGGCCCCTCAACTCAGGCCCAAAGAGAACACAGCTGATGTCAGTAAAAAGGCCCCTCTGTATTTTATCCTAGCTGCCACTCTCCTCGCTTATAAAGATGTAGAAACAAGGAAACCCACTAAGAAGTGAAAACCTGTGTGTCCCATCTTTAGTCTGCTGGGCAGCTACAGGCCCAACCCTGCCTGCCTCACATGCAGCTACTGCCCAGACACACCTGCGCCACCGACACCACTACCTCCTTCTTGGTGAGCTTAGGAGAGGAAGGTGGTCCTTCTGCAGGACGGTGTGACTCACGTGATTGTTTTCATTTCTTTTTTCTCAGCATCTGGGCGTGCACGATTCAGCACCTTGAGGAAGTCAGATGTTTTTGCCCGCATACGTGTGTGAATATAGGCCTGGAGGCAAACACAATGGGTACTGAAGCAGAGTCATCTTCTAGAAAGACAGCTTTGCTCTAATTAGCAGAAATTATCAGGAAGGTCTGGGAATATCCACCCTAGGGTTGACACAGGGCCATGCAAGGAAGCATATATTCACCTCTCTGCTATGGGGAGGGGTGAGTGAGAGATGGAGAAAGGCCATGATTTCTTGAAGCCTCTAGAACCACCTACAAGAGGTCATAGCAAGAGCCTGGAATACAGAGATGACTTTCTACGGCATCAGCTCTGGTGGAGAGAATGACCCAGAGCACAGGACACTGAGGCGCTGCAGCTGCTCTCACTCACCTTTGAGCACTTGATGTGGTAGTGCAGGTAGTCCCGGAACGTGTGGATCAGGTTGATGGTGTTGTCTCGAGCACTGGCGTTGGTGTGGCGAGGGAACAGCACTGGGCGGCGGTGGGGGAGGGGGATAGGCAAGGCGTCAGGGTCTAATAACACCAATGCCAAAGGGCGGGACGACCAGCAGCCTACAGTCAGCTCCATCTCTCCCTCCTTAAGGACCGTCCACTCATTTCATTATGCCTGGGCTTTGTCAGGGTTTCCTGCCAGTGAGTGCAAATGGAGGCGATCATGGTCGAAAACCAGAGCTCCTCAGAGAAAGGGTTTGGCCCTGGCATTCATTCCAGGTCTGGATTCTCTGGCTGTGCACTGTGAAATCTACTCCTTCTGCCACACACCTATGAGCTCCTGCCTCTGCAGCTCAGCAGTCTCTCTGGAGGATGACACTACTGGCTACCTGGGTGGACTGTGGAGCAATCAGGATTAGAGAACAAAGCCTGCCTGTCCTAGGTCCTTGGTGCTGAAGCAGAGTAAGTCTTCAGATAAACTAGATCCACAGAGGGTCATGTAGTCTGTGGTGAAAACCAAACAGCAAGCGAGAAGGATCTGAGCGCTCTTGATGAGGATGGGCAGGAGAAGCTGCTTTGGCTGGGGGCTGAGAAAAGCCCCCCTGCCGCCAACCCCCTGAAGCCCTGTGCAGTCACTCAGCCCTGCGCCTGGGCCGACCTGCACACCTCTCCTTCTGGCTCCCTGGAGCCCTCTCTATCTTCTGCACCCACTCTACTCAGTGGTCTCACCATAAGCAAAATCCTCAAGTATAAAGATTTGTTGAAATGAAAAGGAATGCCTCGTAAGAAAGGGTGGGACCCCTGTGTCAGCTTGCCCTGAGAGAAAAGAGCACCAGGCCAGGAGATAACGGCATTGCAAAGGTGCTGAGATGCTAATGACTGTAAGTTTACCATCAGTTTAGGTACCATAAAGAGAGATGCTGCCAAATTAAACTGTGGCAGGCTGCGAATTGTGAGCTGTGTGCCAAACTCAGAGAGTAACGTGAAAAAACAATGTACCTTAGATTTAATGAAACCTGGTAAATCAACTCGCTCATCTTTGATAAACTGGTGCACCTTCAGCACTGAGGTGAATTAAAGAAAACTCCAGAAAGGGGGACATTTTAGTGGCATCTGGGGCAGTGGGTGAACAAGCTGCGGTTCTAAACCGTCAGCTATAATGATGAGCCAGCTCACTAGGCTGAAGCAACTGTAACAGGGGAGCATGTGAATTTTTTCAGGGGGAAAGTGGAGTAAGTG